CGGGGGACAGAGCCGGGACACGGGGGACAGAGCCGGGACGCGGGGGACAGAGCCGGGACACGGGGAACAGAGCCGGGACACGGGGAACAGAGCCGGGACACGGGGAACAGAGCCGGGATGCGGGGGACAGAGCCGGGACACGGGGGACAGAGCCGGGACACGGGGACAGAGCCGGGACGCTGGGACACGGGGACAGAGCCGGGACTCGGGGACAGAGCCGGGACTCGGGGGACAGAGCCGGGACTCGGGGGACAGAGCCGGGATGCGGGGGACAGAGCCGGGATACGGGGACAGAGCCGGGACGCAGGGACAGAGCCGGGACTCGGGGGACAGAGCCGGGACACGGGGGACAGAGCCGGGACACGGGGACAGAGCCGGGATAGGGCGGACAGAGCCGGGACACGGGGGACAGAGCCAGGATGCGGGGGACAGAGCCGGGACTCGGGGACAGAGCCAGGATGCGGGGGACAGAGCCGGGACTCGGGGACAGAGCGGGATGCGGGGGACAGAGCCGCGACACGGGGACAGAGCCGGGATTCAGGACGGCAGCACACGCCTGGGCTCCCGCAGCACAGCTCCCTGCAGCCCCGCTCCCTAAAGCTCTGCTCTCAGCTGCTGTCGGTGCAGCGCTGCCAAAGCAGCCCCGGGGCTCCGGCAGCGCCACGTTCCCTCCATCCTGCCCGTTCCCCGCTCCCTGCCCTTACCCGGCCCGGCCGCTTCCGTCCCGGCTCCGCCTCTTCCTGCGCCGCCCGGAACTGCTGCGCGGGGACTGCCGTGCCGCCGGACCTGCCGGGGAGCCTTCCTCCTCCTCCTCCTCCTCCTCCTCCTCCTCCTCCTCCTCCTCGTCTCCGGTGAGACACCAGCGGGCGCGGAGAGGGAACTCGAGAGGATCGGGAAGAGGAAATTTGGAGTGGGAAGGGGGAAGGAAGAGGGAGACTGGGAGAGGGCAGAGAACGACTGGGAGGATGAAGGCAGAGGGGAGTTGAGAGAGGGAAGAGGGGGTTTGGCAACAGGAAGAGGGAATTTTGGGGTTGGGAGGGGAAGAGGGATTTAGGAGGAGGCAAAGGGGGGTTGGGAACGGGCAGGAGGAGGGAGATGGCGAGAGAGCAGAGGGGTCTGGGGAGGAGAAAAAGAATTTAGGAGAGGGGAGGAAGAGCAGGTTTGGTAGCGGCAAGAGGCATTTGGGAGGAGAAAAATGGGGTTGGCAGAGGACAGTGGGGGCGAGCATGGATGGGAGAAATAGGATGTTGGCAGGAGGGAGGAAGGGGGAGCCCTTAGGCACACCCGGCCGCTCTTCCCCTCGGGCCCAGGTGAGCTTTGGGTGCCCTGTGGGGCAATAATGGTTGTAGGAGGATGGCATTTTATTCTTTTAAGCATTCTAAAGTGTTGCTCTCAGATGAGAGGCCTTCCCTTCGTTGGTAAAAAGAAATCCCAGGGAGAAATTTGCAGCGAGTAGATTGCGGAGGGTCACGTCGTGGCTTTGGCGTAACTGCTTCAGAAATTCATTTTTGACTAAAGCTTGCTTCTCTCTCTGAGACATGATACCCAGGAATTTGTACACTTGATAAGTTTCAGTGTGGATGTTGAATAATGCAAAGATGAAAAGATAGAGAGGTGTACTCAATTGGCCAGTGTTTTAAGCCAATGAGCACTGGCATGTTGAAACATCCTCGGGTCCATTTTCTGCAGAATATTGAAGCTCAGTGGTAGCAGGGCTTAGCAAATCTCAGTTGTGCAGGTGCAATTATCACAAAATATCCTGAGTTGAAAGGCACTCACAAGAATCATACCATTTATCAGGAAAGGGATTTACAAGGAAACATCACCACTGCTGCATGGAAGAAGTTTGTTAGTGACAGCAGACACAGATAAGGGTCAAACAGTTGATGTCTTCTTTGTCACAGACTTGACCTGTAAGGTCTCACAGGGCCTTTTGCCACAAGGCAGAGCATAAGGAGAGGAGGAACTACAAGTTGTGGAAGAGGATTGAAGCAGATTGTCCCTGATAAGTCCATAGGCCCACGTAGACTTCATTAAAGGGTGCCAGCAACTGGCAGCATCTACACAAAGCTGCTTTCTGTCATCTTTTAAAGGCCACGAGACTGGGGGAGATCCCAAAGACAGGAGAAAGGCAAATCTTATCTTCATAAAGGGCAAGAAAGACAAAGAAGAGAACTACAGACTGGTCAGCCTCATTCCTTCCTCCTGTGAAAGGATCGTGGAGGAAGCCATTTGTGGCAAAAGAAGGTAGAAACTGGGAAGAGCCAGATCTACCAAGGATAAATCATGCCTGATCAATTGGCATGTCCTCTGTGACTAAATAGCTAGATCTGGAGATGGAGGGTGTGTTGGATACCATCTGCTCCGGGCTTAGGGGGATATAATGGAAGCTTGAATTTTCTTGAGGGTATTATTGGAAAGATATAGAGCCAGTCTTCATAGTCACATGCATAGTGGGAGAATGAGAGACAGCACAACTTAAAACCTCCAATTCAAAGCAAGGAAATGAAGGCAGTGAGGCACTGGGACAAGTTGGCCAGAAGGATTTTTGCATTCGTGTCTTTGGAGATTTTCAGGATCCAGCTGGAAGAGCCCTGAGCAAACTGGTCTGAATTCAGTGTCAACTTTGAACAGGAGGTTGCACAGGGTGACATTGTGGGGTCCCTTCCACAAGGAATGATTCTGTAATCCTGAAAGAATTCACTGTTTTTGTGGAGAAAACAGAAAATATAGGGCATTAATGTAATTTTTAAAATATTGGATAAGCTGTTTGTGGTGATATTGATTGGAATACTAATTTAAAAGAACATTATAAAATATGTTGTAGAATAGAATGTAAAATTAAGGATGCCAGTACTAGTAACTCCATAGCAGGAGATCTTATAAGTGTCTCAAAAGATTCTTTGAAGACAATGACAAGAAAATTAGAACGGATTAATACAATTGTTCTCATTAATACAGTTATCCAGACTACTGAAGTGCGTGAGTTTTGAAATGTCCCTTGTGGAAAGTAACTGAGAAATTATCCTGTCATAAATCAAGTGCTGATTAAGATAGTTAAGCAGCTGAAAATAGAAGTTAATTTTTTCCTCCTTTTAAGATTTTCCTAGATCTACTTTCTTCAGAATCATCAGATCTGAAAGTGACCTGGAAGAGGCATTATTGGTAAATAAGGAAAATCTGCCACTGTCGCTGTTAATAGATGTAGTCAGGAAGAGGGTAAATTCTGAGGAATAGAAGGATCCAAAGTGACAGGGAAAAGTGAATTGTTTTTACAGTGGTAAATGAAAAATAGTGCAGTGAGTGTGTTGGAAGGAATTATATAAGCTGTTCGTTCATGTGACTTTTTTAAGGTAACTGCTACAGATCTTGAAGGTCGCTGAAAAGGATATGTGAGTGAAAGGCCTTTTAATCATAAGTGGCAGTAAAAAATAAAAATATTGATGAGTTTATAAAAGGATGGCATAATAGCAGAAGACTTTAATAGCATTGCAATATAAATAGAAGATGTGTACTTTCTTTGAAAAACATCTTTAGTAGTATACGTGCCTCAGAAAATAATAACAGGAGTTCAGAAACAGATGGTTGAAAGTATGACTGTATCTGAAAATGTAATGGAAGTAGATCCATTTAGCTGCAAGTCATGATGAATAAGATAATACATGGGCAGGTGTGCAAAACAGTAGATGGCAAATGAATGAAAAAAAAAAAATAAGAGGGCTCCTACACCCTATATATCTAATAAGTCTTAAATTGGAAGACTGCATGTTCTGTAGAGTGCGCAGTTAAGGTTGATTGTATTTGGCAGAAGACAATGGTATACTCAAGAAATGAAAGCATCCAAAACTTCATATATGTTTTAAAGATAACAATTCACTGATTAACATGTATGTTTCCCCATGGATTTAGATTGTTGCCGTTGAGCAAGAAATTACACAGATTCACCAGAAGGCTGGTTTGCACAACAGCCTTTAATACGAGAAACTCTCCTCTTTTATAGACAGCTTCAACACATTCCACCTGATTGGCTAACTAACAAAAACGTCTTTCTCACAAACAGTCCTTGAGAAGAACAGAAAAACAGAGTAGGAAAACACCACCGCAGGTTGTTTATAAAAGTCACCATAGTTTCTTTACAACTCCCTAAACGTCTCAAAAGTTCACTGTGAGAAAACAAATCTTGTTTTCTCGCTCTCTGACCAGGCTGTCACATCTGCCTTTAGATCACTTAGAATAGTCCACCTTGGGAGGTAACAGAGATCTAGGTTGAGAAAGGTGCTTTTAGGGTTAGACTGATGGGTGAACGCTGGGTTGCAAGAAGATGTGCTTGCTTGGTGCAAAACTTGTTCTGCTCAGGGTTCAAAAGTTTTAACACAGCCCTCTGATCTCACAGTTGCATTATCAATCTAATGCAGAAAAGACAGTGTCATACTCACTCTTTTCTAAACAGCATTTGAATTATTTCCTGTACAAAGATTCCACTTCAAGAGGCAAGTCAAGGAAGTCTGTTTTGCAGAATAGCCTATGGCATCATCACTGAAACGCTCTGCTGTCCTTGTCTCAAGGCTGTCACTTTGCTGTATGCTGACTTGACAGCCATACAGGAGCAGTTTGTGCATGAAAGCATGAATGAATGAAATTGGATGTTAGGTTTACAAGTGTCAAACCACTGGTTGATACTTAGAAATTGTTTGATCTGCAAACATCTGTAAAGGGCCACTACCAAAAGCAATAATTTGCCTTTTGGACCATGACAGATATTGTTAGTAGCCTTTTGACAGCAGTGTTGCTATGGTCCCATAAGGAGAGCATAATTATCAATTTGCTTTTTTCAGATTACACTATTTTTAAGACAGTTATTGATGTGTTCATCTTTCCATTGAAGATGGATCTCCTTCTCTAACTCACTAATAGATTTTTTTAATTTGAAAATACATGCCTAAACTGAGCATACTTGAACTGTTTACTAAGCCCAGTTTCCTCTCTTCTCTTGAGAAATTTCCTGTGATTCGTTAGTTGTAGGCATAGTAGCCTGGGACATTATAATTGTCATCAAGAACAGAAAGAATTGCTGCAATTACCTAGCAAATAAAAGAATAAGTGTGGAGAACCCTTTGGAAAACTGGGGCTTAACAGTCCCTTTCAATATATGTTTTTAAAAAGCTAGAGCTAGAAACAAAATCTGGGAGGTGTTACCTTCAGAGAGATGAAAATTTAATTATGTTTACATTTATTCTCAAAATATTAGAGAATGGCTGTGAATGGCTGTTGAGGCTGCCTCTTTCTCATGTACACAAGTATATATTCCTAGTAGAATTCCTCTTTTGTTGAGAGAAGAACTTGAAGGATGTTGTTTTTAACAGGGAGTTCTACAAAATTTCTGAAATTAGTGTGTCAATTCTGCGGTTTTCATTCAACAGAGGATTTAGCAGAGTCCTAGTTTAAGAGTGTGTGGTGCTGAGACTTGGAAGGCATGTTCACTGAACAAAGAAATGTGGGACATAATCTACCCACAGATCTCAAGAGCAGCCTGAACACATATCAGAGGTAGATGGATAAAGGAAAGAGGGTATGTGCTTTCTGTGCTCTGTGAATTCACTTTTTGCAATCATCAGAGAGAGACAGAATTGCTGGGACGGGGCTTGCGCTGCAGTCTGTGCTTGATCAGTGAGACAGCCGAGTAGCTGGTGTGTAGCACTTCCTGGCAGAAGTTCTGTGGCCACCAGAAAATGATTTGTCAAGTG